CAAATAAAGAGATTCGAATACGGCGAGATTCTTATTTTCGTAAGTAGATACTTATACGCTTGACAAGGCAATACTAAAAAAGGATGGCAAGTCATAAATAGTCTGATCAACCGAGGCTCAGAAGAAAGTTCTGCCGTAGTTACCCTGCGAAGGGGCAATACTGAAATTGTGGAACCCACAGCTGTCGCGAATGATTTTAATGCCCTTTTAAACTTTAGTTATTTTATTTATAAAGAGATGGACTGTAAGAAAAGTTGTGGTGCTTTATTTGTCGATATTACCAAGGCGTTTGATATGATCGATAGACAGATTATTGCAGATAAGATATACTCCTTGGGTTTTCGGGGGTTCTCTCACAGTTGGTTCCAGTCTTATTTATCGAATAGAACTCAAAAAGACAATATATCTGGCACCCTTAGTGGCAATAAGATAATTCACCTAGGTGTCCCACAAGGCTCGGTTCTTGGCCCTATACTGTTTATAATCTACATAAACTTCATTTTCTCCTTACCTTTCGTGGGGAAGGTTACAGCTTTTGCAGATGACTTGGCAATCGCCTATAGCGCTTCAAATAACTTCGAGCACTAGGGATAAATCATGATGTACACCTATTGAGGAGTTTGTTTGCAGATCATAAACTGATCGTTAGTAGCAAAACAAAGCTCACTTTCTTTTAGATCAACGGTAAAAGAACCACCAAATTCAGGCATTATATTTCATTCTACGGATTGTAGTAAACACTGCAAAGCACTGCAAAGATGCAGTGAAAATTGTTTTAAAATTGAGGTAGTGGATAACTTTGAATATCTTGGTGTTGTGGTTGACAGCCATCTCAGCTGGTCAGAGCACAATCTGTCTCTGAAACAGTACTTTCTTTCAATTGTTCGCTACTTTTATCGTCTTCGAAAATATAGTTCTAACTCCACGCTACAAATGGTCTACTACGCTCTATTTCATTCCAAACTGCAATATGGTATTAGCTGCTGGGGAGGTGCCACTGCATACAAATTAACACCTCTTTTGATCTTGCAGAAGAATATTATTAGAAAAATATTCAATGCAAATTCTCGTGAGCATTCTATTGAATTTTTTTGAACGCTTAAAATTCCTCCGATGCGACATTTATACTTTTACAAGGTATTAAAAATATTTTTCGTAAGATCTGGCTACATACAAAGTCATGCTTCTAATAATTATTACTTGAGACGCAATATCCAAACTGTTGCTTCTATTCCTGCCATAAAGACAACACATTATCGCAATTTCTCCACTTTTGTATCTTGTAAGTTATTTAACAGCCTTCCTCCTAATATAAACCATAAAAAACCTACGTGAATTTTTGAAGGAAGTGAAAGCATTTTTACTAAATTTTAATCACCATGAGGTCGAAATTTTGCTTAAACCAGTCATTTAATAAATTTTCAGTTAACCATGAGACGTGTCGTTTTTGTTTATGTCGTTGACCCCTTATGGTCAGGTGGCGACACTTCCCGGTCATGTCGGTCTTTGCTTAGACTTTTGGCCCCTACTGGTCAATGTGTGAGCCCTTACGGTCAGCTCGGTCACTTTCATGTCTGGGTTTTACTCTCCAACAATCCTTTAGGGTTAATTTCAATACCTCAGCAAGACATTGATTTTCATATAAACAGTTATTTATTACACCGTGCGACAAAAACCAAAAATTTTTAAAACACGAAAAAATCAAAATATTCTCGTCAGGATTTTTTTTAAAGTACTTTGAACTTTCTGGGATATGATTGAATAAAAAAAATTATTTAAAAGATTTGATGCCTGGTAGAGTAACAATATGGGTATCAATTAGAAGGAAAAATTCTGTAGAATTAAAAAAGAAATAATTTTTTGAAATGTAACATTTTTTTATCTAAAACTAATAAAGTTAGAAGGACGAAATACATGGATGTGGTAGTTAACATATTAGTCCTTAACATATATTTTTTTCAAAAATAAATATTGGAAATTTCCAAGGATATTCAAGGATAAAGTTATAAAAGGACATTTTCAATACCTATTCGTCCTGGGGCACCCAAAAATTATTTTTTTTCTATTCTACAGAATTTTTCCTTTTAATTGATACCCATATTCTTATTCTACAATGCACCGAATCTTTTGAATAATTTTTTTATTCAATCATATTCTAGAAATTTCAAAGTCCTTTTAAAAAAAATCCTGACGTCAGAGAGAAAAACTTAAAACGCAGTTTTACTATATTTGGCCCGCTGCTTTGTGAATATATTGATTTCTTCGTGTGTAAAATTGGGAATATTTTGGTTATTTTTTTTATAAAAATATAATTCATTCTTTAACAAAACCCGTGTAAATCCAAGTTTAAAACTTTGTGCAATATATTAAAAAAAAAAATCAACAAACTATCGTAAAAAATTCTAACTTTTTTAATTAGATTTCTTAGAAAGATTCTGAGTATACAGTTGTATAGCCCATTGAATTCTAGTAGAACAAAGTACAAGTTTCAAATGGCTAAGCATTACGGTGGATTTTTTAGAATTTTTTTGTCCAGGATGTTTCGGTTTTCTTCCATATAAAAATAAATTGTATGTATTCGTTATATGGAAGCAAACGGGCAAAAAAAAAATCTCAAAAATCAACCATAGGTTTTAGCCATTTGAAACTTGTACTTTGTTCCACTAGAATTCAATGGGCTACAAAACTGCATACTCAGAATCTTTCTAGGAAATCTAAAAAAGTTAGAAATTTTTACGGAAGTTTGCTGAATTTTTTATAAATATTGCACAAAGTTTGAAACTTGGATTTATACGGGTTTTGTTAAAGAATTAACTATATTTTTATAAAAAAAAAAAATATGTTAAAACTTCTCAAAATGTGGTGCGGCTATAATTATTTCGACCACAGTATATGTACAATGTCTTCACCTGGGGCCTATTTCATAAAAGTGACAGGTGCGAAAATTGTCGATTTTTCTATAAAATTTCACTGCGAGAATTGTTGGCGACATTTTTCCTGTTTCATATAAGTTTGTAGGCAACTGTGAAAATATTTGGAAAACGACAGTGATAATATGGAATATTGTAGACAATTGTGCTGAAAATTGTCACTCTGACAAAATTGTCGCGACAATTGCGACAAAACCAAATAGCTCCGTCGGAAAGCTTTCACAGGAGAGTTTTGTAAAGCCGATGCGCTAAAGTCAAAATTAAAATCATGTTGAACCCATAGTCAGGGTTGCCGTTTTGGGCTTTTCCTACCAAAATTGATAGATTTTTTCTCGTTGGTAGGATGGTATGACGTTTAAAAGTTTAGTAGGTTTCTATGCTCATAAAACAGAAAACGTGTCTGGTTTGTTGTAGTGTGTAACTTTTGTTAGCACTGTGAAAAGGCCTGCAAAATTGAGACAATCAAAGAGTATTCTGCAATTCACTTCCGAGTGAATTTCAAACCCCTGCCAATTAGAATATAAAGCGCATTTGACTCAAATTCACTGGGAAGTGAATTATAGAATTTTACCAATTACCTTCGGCAATTCTCTGAACGCCTTACACGTTATAAAAAGTTGTATTATAGATTGAATATTAGATTGAATTAAAATTCAGTTGCGAATCGGTAATAGTTTCAACAATGACAAGGTTGTTAAAATATTTTAAATTACACTTGAAGAACGATTCAAAGGCGTATTACATAATAAATGTCCGTGTCTACAGAATATTTTATTCTTTATCATACACGAAAGTTAAAAAGAAAACTAACAATAAGTGTTAGTCATATTTCTAGTAAATCGGAGAATCTCGAAAGTTTTTAACCGCAACTCGAAGAAAGGCAAAGCCGCAGCGCCCAACTTCTACGCCAAGCCCGGAGGCTCGTAGTTAGCCCCTGACATTTTGCAAGCCTAACCGTGAGGTTTATTTTTACCTTATTTATGTATATATACTTCATAATTTATGTATGCAAATGAGCGATGTATAAAAAATCTACAATGGAATTTTATTTTCTGTTCCGATTTCTCACGTCATTTACTCCGAAGTCTTTATTAAAACTAAAAACTATGCGAATTTTTCGCCATTTTTATTGGTTTTACGCCATTTACTTGAAATTTCGAGGAAGTAGAAGTGAAACGCACCTCAGATTCGGATTCAGCTGGTCGAAATACATGTCGATAGGTGGTTAAAAGCACACACCACTATTACCACCACGCTAAACTATTTATGTATGTATATAATAGCTATTATTTTGATCTTTTTGTTTACCTGGAAATCTTATTTTAAGTATGAAAACCGGCAAAAGGCAATGTATTTAATGCTGTCAAACGCCGTTTTCTCGATTAAAAGAAATGGTAGGAAAGAAGCCATTTTGGAAGGTTTTTTAACTAACTCTTGGTAGGAAAGAAAGTTTTTCAGTGGTAACCCTGCCCATAGTTCTTACAGCTCCTAAAGTTAGCACTTCATTAAATTGGAGGAAATTGGGAGTTTGGGTTTATATAATTTTTATGCCATATCTTGGAAAAATATGCTCTGATTGTTATAGTTTGTTTCAAATCAAAGCAAATGCTTATGGCTAAACATTTCAGTTTACGATAAGAAAAATACAAATTACAAAAAACACCTGGGCATGAATCACGTATGACGACAATCGTCTGGACGATATCGTGCTGAGATTGTTTTGTTTCATGAAAACCAAAAATTGTTCGATCGTTTGTGCGATATCGTCCACTCAATTCCAGTTTTGCTTCACGTAACAGTAACAGTAGCACGTAACAGCAAAACAAATGCATGAATCAGTGTTTTGACGACATCGTTTTGTCAGTATCGTTTGAACGACTATCGTTTCAAAGTTACGTGATTCATGCCCTGTTTTTTCATTGTAAACTTGATTTTTATATGGTAGGTTTTGATAAATGTCTACCAATTCTTTTGTAGTCCAATTACCACTTGAGTTAATTTTATTTTCGCTGGGGCGAAATCATCTCATAATTAAAAAAAATGCCGTACAACTACTACTATAATACTTACCATCACTGGGACGTGGCCTAGATGGAGTTTTTACTTTAGAGGACGACGCACTTTCTTCAGTGTCGTTCGATGGAGGTGAAGGTTTAGACATTTTTGGTCGCTTCTTCCGTAACTCTGCAAAGTTGTGCTTATTCCATGAGCGGCGTTTTTTTGACCCACAATAGTAACGATATTTTCTTTTCTTCGCCAAAGACCAAATATAATCACCCGAACAATCTAGCATATGACGGTACAAATCCAAAGTACCACTGCACCTGCGGGTACACTTGGAGCATTTTGTTGAGGCTGTACCTCCATCCTTACATTTGAGATGCAATTTATCTGGTACTGTAAATAGGGAATTCGCTGACTGTATACTATTCGATGGGGAAACGGTGTTTATGTCAATTGTAGTTTTCGTGTCAGTGTCGCACTCATCTGTAGTTGTACTGTGTTTTGCACTGTAAGTATTTACCGTGCAGCTATTTAGCGTCGATTGAACGCTGTCAGAGGAATCATCATCTCCCGCGGATCCTGTTATCATTCTTTGACTCGTATCCTGCAACTCATTTTTTCTCCAACCCAATTTGCGTACAATGTGGGAACTGTTGTAACTTTCATTTCCATAATAACTAAGTGCCCGATTGGGTATGAATAAGTGACGCAGAGAGTTGCCTGCCAGTAACTCTCGCCCAACAACTTCGTAGTGAGTAGAGAGTACGTGCGAATGACGAAACATTTTATGCTCCTCTAAGGACTTCAATTTCTCGAATTTGGCTCCACAACACATACAAAGATAGCAGCGTGGCCGAGCCCATTCCCCGCTCAAAACGAGGTGCTTGCGAGGACACTGAAGCTCATGATTTGGCAAAAGTTTAAGTACGGAAAAAAACGTCTCATCAGCAAAGGATTGGTGAAGGATATTATCGGCTCCATTCTCATCGGTAGTTTGTATATACGATACTGTGCCAAATTCTTCATTTTCCATTTTTATTATAGCTTGCTCATTTTGTTCCAAAATAATATGAGGTAGTAAACGCATATCAAGAATGTAATTTAATTGTTCGTTGATGCGCAGTTTTTCTTCGCGGATGCTGCCATTAGCATAAGAATGGGTATTTAAAATGCATTGCTGAATTTCATGTTTTTGACGCATTGAAAGTTGAGTCCACATATCGAGCTTTGACAAATCGCGCAGACCCAGCGTTGGTTGTTTCATCTTCTTCACTATTTTTCCGCCTTCGTTTATTAATTTGAATTTCTTCACGCTATCCCACTTCCATTTCCATGAATGTTTTGTGTGAGGTCTGCGAATTTTTGATAAAGTTGCATCACCTCCGTATTGTTCTGCCGTTAAGAGTGTTGGAAAAGCTGTGATTGTCGAAAGACTTGTTGCGGCGTGAATCTCACTATTCAGATCATTAATACCGTCCAGAACTATAGGACTTTCAGCTAATGTACTTTGAATGGGTGGTATTTGATGTTTTACGATCGAATTGTTTGAACTTACATTAATGGCACGGCCAACATTTCCCAGAAGTTTTCCATCCAAAAAGTATAAAAGATTATTTCGTACGTTTGAAAGGACATCTCTGTAAAAGTTTTCATCGAAGACACTGGATAATATTTCCGTCCTTGTCGGCATACGAAAAACTACCTCAGCATCGCCACTTTCTCTAATCGCGTTTTTTCCAGATTTATTACGAGCTTTCACAGCTGACATATAAACAGATGGTTGATCAGTTTTCAAGATCGAATCTGACAAAATACTGTCTTTTCGCGAGCGAACGCCTTTCCTGCTATTCGGCAGTCTATTTTGGGCAAGACCTAATCTGGACAAAATGGGTTCTTCCGCACCCATTATTGTGTTGGAATTAGTGGGACTAAGATCTTCCGGGATTGCAGCTACAATGCTCATAACATTTGTATTTTTTTGTGATTTAGAACATCGTGCTTTTGAATTCCTTCCTTTTTCTCTGCTATTCTTTTCAAATTCCTCCTTTTCAAGCAATACTGTCAAATCATCTTTGTTTTTTGAACTGTCATCTTGTAAAATGGATATATCTTTATGCACACTTTGCATGTGTTGAGACAATTTTACACCGCTCTGAAAACGTTGCTCGCACCTCTTGCATCCGAAATACTTATCCGAATGGCATTCAATAAAATGAAAAAAAAGTCCACTTAAGTCTCTCGTTGACGCTTCTATTTGAAGAGTCTTAGATCGTTTGCAATATGTGCATCCGGGATATTTCGCTAACGCAACACTACAAGGTTCTACTCGTTGTTTCTTTGAATCGCTAAGCGTTGACATTTGTGAATTGCGGCCACTACATCTACGATTCTTATTTTGGATATGAAACTTCTCTACATGTTTCAGCTGCATTTTATAGGACGTGAACTTTTTATCACAGTACAAACAAAGAATTCGGACACTCTCTTCCAAAGATGAAGTGCACTCGTCGAATTCCTGATGATTTGAACCAGCATTGTCATAGGCAGTTCTATTTGTTTGCTTTTCGCACCAATTTACTCTCTCTCCTAATTTCTCTTCATAAAAGTTAGTTTTCTGGTTATGTTGATTTTTTATTTCAAAGTTCAAATTATTTGTGTTAAGCTTTTCTATAAACCCCGTTAACCGATTTAGTGGCAAACTGCATACAATAGAAACAGAGGGCTGATTCACGTCCTTTTGACTGCGCGACTCGTTAAACTTTTCATCTATTTCCACACATACACCTTTCGTTTTTCTTTGACCTGTTCGTTTTAATGCTATTTTATTATCGGTGCCTGATTTCTTCCGATTTGCCTGCTCCTCAGATGCTTTGAAGATATCCGAACTACTTCGTAATCCAAAGCGAGACATCTTTGTTCGTTCACGAATTCGTTTTACTAAAAGTAAAAGCAAACATTTAATTAAAATGAAGTTTTATATAAACCAAAAATTCATGAAATTACAATTCCCGAAACCAATCGATAAACAGGCATACGCTATTTACACTAAGCAGGACAGATGGAAGTTACCAACTGTTTAGCAGAAAAATTATTATTATTGCTCCCCAACTTAAAAACGCAAAATTTTATAGAATCATACATACACATGGTAAAACGAATACAGAAGGTGGCGCTGATTGTGATACCGTTAACTCTTTCTTGAAAATTCTGACAAAAGTGTGACGTCATAGCTGATTTTGTTTATTGCCTGTTTAATATACATATACCTTGCGTTCATCTAGTTAGAAACGAAATTCAAAATGATATTGTTTGCAAATTATGTTTATTTCTTTTTTTATATAATTTTCATTTAAAATATAGTTCAATCTGTAACAGAAACCACAATAATAAAAGTTTCAAAGCTTGCAGAATTGCAAAAACAATTAAACAAACTTCAAAAAATTTTCATCAAAATTTCCAAATTTTTAATCGGAATATTTAGAAAATTTTCGGGTATGCAGTTCTGTAGCCCATTCAATTACAGTCTAAGAAAGTGCAAGTCTCAAGTCGTTAAAAATTACTGTTGGTTTTTTAGATTTTTTTTGTGGAGGTTGTTGCGCATTTTCTTCCATATAACACTTGATCAAAATTTTTTTTTATCTGAAAATTTTCCCGAAAATTTTCTAAATATGTATTCTGAATAAAAATTTGGAAAACTGCGATGACGTCATATTCACGTTACTTTCCCGAACTTCACATCAATCAAGCCAATCTTGTATTCTATCGGTCTTGATACATACAGGTAACAATTTGTAGTCCTTCTGATGATGAATAACACCAAGCAAGCTAACCATTAATAGCAAAAACTTGTTGTTCTTGATGTTGTAGCGGCTACAACAACCCCGCCCAGATCGGCTAGTCCCTCAATCGTTGGCCTCAAGCTCAACTAACGGTAGACCCAAGAAGCGTGCAGCCTCTATAGGGTATGTCCAAAGGAACAGAGGCGTTAGTTGAGTGGGGTTTAGTGGGCATGCGAAGAGATGTTTCGAGGTGTATCTTCGCATGCCGGGCACTCATTAAGCACATCCGCATCTAGTATGCAAAGGTCCGAGCCTCCCGAAGCAGACGAAGCTCTGTCTCGTCCAGGTCAGGTGGTTGTGTGCCCAGAACGGCATTCACAGGTCAGGAGTCTACTTAAGTTGAGACTGACTCCCTGTGAATGCCGCTCAAGGCCTGTCGATATGTTGTCGGGTCCAGAGGTTACAAATAGCAAAAAGTAATCATAGTTGTTGTCTTTTGTATTTTAGTTTAGCTCTCTACGCTTACACATTCATATTTTTATTAGCTTATGTGCAGCGTATTTCCTCTTAAAAATTTTAGTTTCAATATTTTTTAACATGTCTTAAGTCTCTTAACAAATATGGTTTTGGCAAGGCCATAAGAAAATTGCTAATTTCGCATTTTCATGATTCCATGAACAATAACAAGCTTGCATTAATTTAAGAAGTCCATATCCGACTATGTGAATAAATATGGGGATTTCCTTAAAACTATCAACCACGCCTACTTCCAATGTAACGGTAACTCACTCTCAGTAACAAATAAGTTTATTATAATTTCTTGAAAAATGGGCCCCGATTTACTAATTTATACCAAAGTTTGTACATTTGTTGACTTTGGTCCCATATATAAAAGGTTGAACATTTTTACAATCGGACAATAACCACACTCACCTCCCATATAACGATAATTTACAGAAATACGAACACTGCGATAAATCAGTAACTGCTAAATCCAATTCACTCAAAATCGCTATTTGTAAATTAGCTGTCAGACGTGGCTCCCTGTTCACACGGGAAAGTAGACTTTCGATTTCGCATTTTGACAGCAAAATGTGTGGAAAACCGTGTTTAACCGGACATTAAGAATATCTTAGCAATAAATGAGATTATTATAAATTTTTGGAAAATAGACATGACACTGCCCACTTATGACTACATATTTATACATATCGAGAGCTTATATTCAATACCCTCTATCTGAACTTTTCCCACAATGAGATTCTGATATAAAAATCCACCTACGACTTAACTGTCATCGGTGATATTAATGCTGACCTTGTATAACGCTTGACAGAAGAGTTTATGGCTCGATTATGTATAGCAACGCAACTATGGTTCGGTTGGCAGCTTGCAACGCAACAAAGAAAATTTGTATTACGAATGGCAACTATCGGCAGTCGCTGAAAAGTTATCGATAATTGAAATTTGACAGCTCGTCAACCAGCGCAGGATTGTAAACAAGCAAAATAATCGCAAAATAAAAGCGAAATAAAGTTATTAATATAGAGTTTTTAATAATAAGTCTTGCTACAATGGTTAGTTCAATAGAACTATTTTTTGAAGAGGAGGAGTGTACGAACGCAGCATCAATCAGGCGACATTTAAGGGATAATTCCAATCCTATAGAGCTGCGGCCGGCGCTGTAAGTAAAAGTTGGGATACGGTTTAGTTATTTGCACAATGATTTTAAGTTGTGGTGTTCAAACGCGTTACCGGAATCTAAAAACTTTAACATATACGTGAGTCAAATGATGAAATTTTAATCTACTTTTTTGTAAATTTCTATGTGGGTTCTGCGCAAAAGTACTGTGGATGGCGTAGCCGGAATTATAAGCACAAGGAATGTTGTATACCTTTGACAATAAAAGTTTGGACTGTGCTCTTTGTAATGGGTGGGGTTTTAGGTGCAACGGCCCCTCTCCCTGCACTCCACACAACAAGTTCATTGTACCAATAACTAAACATTTCCCAAAAGTTAACGCCTGGAAGACTTTTTATTGTGATTCTTTTTGGTTTCAGATTTAAAGCATATTTCCGACTTCCAAAAGAAGCTGTATTATATTTGGTAAATACATTGAGGAATGACTTTAGGCGGTATCATCGTTCAAGTGCAGTACCTCCGCTAATAAAAGTTTGCGCAGCTCTCCGATTTTTTTCAGAAGGAAGTTTTCTGAAGTCTCATGGCAATGACTTCAATTTGGGACTGGCGCAACCTACGATGTCGGTTGTTTTAAAAGAGATGCTTCAACTGATTGAGGAAAAAATTTTTAACCAATGGATTACTGAAAAAATTACCGAGGAAGAGAAATCCAGAAACAAGAACTTCTTTTACTCGAAAAGGAAATTTCCTGGTGTTGTTGGATGTATAGATGGGATACATGTGCATATAATGGGACCAAATGAGGATGTTCGCCATTTATATATGAACAGAAAAGGATAATTTAGTTTGAATTTTTTACTGGTGAGTTATGTTATCTTGTATGGTTATTTTGTATGAAATTTCATTTTGTTTTTTTTTTTGTATATGTGCGATTACCAAATGCGGATACGGTATGTTGATGCTAGGCATCCAGGATCTACTCATGATGCTTTTATTTGGAACAATAGTGATTTAAAACAAATGGTTGCTGATGATTTTGGTCCGAACACCTGGCTTCTAGGTTGTATTTCGTTAATAATTATGAAACCTTTTGATTTAACTCTAAACTACCTAGGTGATTCTGGATTTCCATTAGAACCACATCTTTTGACCCCTTTTCGTTCAGCGGAACCTCAATCACCTGAAGCTAAATACAATACAATCCATTCGAAAGCCCGAAATGTGATAGAGCGGACAAATGGCGTCCTTAAGTCTATATTTAGATGTCTTTCTACTGAAAGGGGCCTGCACTATAAACCAGACAAAGCTGGGTCTATAATAAATGCATGTTGCGCGTTGTATAATATTGGTTTACACTATAAAGCAGACTGGGAGGAAGGTCCGACAATCTCGCAGGAAAGTTGCAAGTCCAAATGTAACCGAGAATGTTAACACCGTAGCCTCTGATATAAGATATAATGTAATGCAATGTTCAAATGAATAAAACAATCTTTTAGTTTAATAAAGTATTTCATTTTAAATTCTTTTATTAAAAGTAAACAACATATTTATTTTTTTAGCGTTCTTCATGTTTTTTTAGTTTTCAGGTATGAAATCAACTCATTTTATTTCAACTTTTCATTCAGTTTTCCTTAAAACTAATATATCACATATCGACGGCTGAATGAAAGGTCGTCCTATCTCGGCAGCCAGTTTGAAAACGCCATATCTCAGAAAACTTTCCAATAACGCTCTATTTCAGAATTTGATTGAAGAACGCCCTGTTTCAGAATTCGATTCAAAAGCGCCCTATCTCAACATATTTGCATGGGTGTATTTCAACTTTTCATTCAGTATTCCTTAAAACTAATATATCACATATCGACGGTCGAATGAAAGGTCGTCCTATCTCGGCAGCCAGTTCGAAAACGCCGTATCTCAGAAAACTTTCCAATTAAGCTCTATTTCAGAATTTGATTGAAGAACGCCCTATTTCAGAATTCGATTCAAAGGCCCCTATCTCAACATATTTGCATTGGGTGTAATTCAATAAAACTCTGAGATAGGGCGTTTTTCAATCAAAATCTCAGATAGGGCTTTATTGCAAACTTTTACGGCGTTTTCGAACCGACTGCCGAGATAGGTCGATCTCCCACTCAGCCGTCGATAAATTATACAAAATATTTGTACCTAATTCACTTTGGTTTTAGTTAAAAATACTATATCACAACAAAAAATACATAATTCACTTTTCTTAAAAATAAAAAATAAAATAACACAGTCATTCAATTGATCTTAATAGTAAAAAAATAAAGGTATAAATAAAAAGCCTCAACTTAAATTGGGGATCTGTTTTTCTAAGAGCTCCAGTTTTTTTTTGTTTAATTTTTTTGTTCAAATGCTGCTCTTCAGCAAGCATCTGATGTGCTTTTTTTCAAATTATGCGCTTCCTTAAATATTTTTAATTTTTCCCTCTTCAAATCCCGTATATCTTTTAAGAGATCATTTCTCCTGGACAGCTTTCTTTCAATTTTGTCCAACT